GTCTTAGCTGCTCACTGTGGATTCTGTCTTCAAGTCTGCCTGTGCCCACGGAGTGCCCTAAGCCTCTAAGGAGGAACGGGCGGGGCTCCACAAGGTTGGCACAAGGCGCTTGATGGCCTGTCTATGCAGGGGGGCATTTGGAGTTTAAGGACGTGTGTATATATTTATTTAGAAAATTTATATTGCTGTCACACGGCGACTCAAGGTGGCTTACAAGGATATAAAACCCCACATAAAAGAAATAAAAAGAATTAAAAGAAATATAATAAAATAATAACCCCACCCACCCGGCCCAGCGACAGCACACGTTCACACTAGCCAATGAATGGGCTCCAACCCGTTCTGGGTTGCCCAGGCCCACTGGCAGAACCAGGTCTTCAGGGCCTCCCAAAAGAGCGTGAGAGGGAGGGGGGCACTCTAATCTCCGGGTGGGTGATGTTCCAGAGGGAGGGAGCCACCATACAGAAGGCCCTTCTTCTGGGTCCTGCCAGATGTATCTCCCTAGGGGTCGTGACCCGCAGCATTCCCTGCCTCCCCACTCTAGTGGGTCGGGTAGATGTGACCAGCAAGAGACGGTCCCTCAGACAACCTGGTGCCAAGCCATGAAGGGCTTTAAAGGTGACAACCAGCACATCGTTTTGCACCCGGAAGGAAATATATATATATATTTCATGCCCTTGTAAGGTACTTACAAAGTTCAAATACATTCTTATAGTGCTCCCTATTTTGCCATGTTTGCTTAGAAATCATGACCGCCTGTCATTGATGCGGTTTGCACAAGGTCATCACGGTGGTTTCCAGAAATGAAATCTTATTAACTAATTAAGGAAATTCCAAAAAACCTGTCAGTTTCAGGCATTGTACTGTAATAAGAGGGGATAAACAATCTGGCTGTTTTTCTAGGGTGGAAGTAATATTAAATGCAATACTTTCTAGCTATGTTGTTTGCAGATCTGCTCCAAATTTCTTTTGGATAGACTGTGCATTTTTCTGTGAAGTTAAACAAGGTCCTGTGATCTGGTTCTGCTTCCTTCCACTCTTAATTTTACACGTTTCAGGACGGACCCAAAGTTCTACCTTTGTATATCCATGCCCAGGTTTTTTTGGGTTGTTTATACATCAAGGTTCATATTAGGTCTTTGCATGTTAATCTATAATCTGTAGAGACCTGCAGGAGGATTACCGGTATCTTTGTAAAATAAAATTTATCTGTTCATCTACTTGCATATAAGTAAAATTACGACTAGCAAAAAGTACTTTAATGTGCCATGTATTTAAAACTGAAAAGAATTTAAAAGGAAAACTATTTGTCCGTAATACCTCTCTATCTGAATGTAACATTTAATTGTAACACCAAAAACACACAGATCCAACAAAACACTACTAGCCCTTGTCTGCGTTTTGCTCCCTCATCACAGCAGTTCTCCTCTGGCTAATTTCTGTTGTCTGCCATGCAATAAGGCTCCTGCACCCCCACAGATTTGTAAATCGAGAACTCAACTGTGGCTGAGATGCCCTTTTCTCCACCTGCTGCATAACTCCATTTCGGCTGGCCTCTTCCTTTTGAATAAAGAGCATCCTTGAATCCTTGCATTCTATCCACCAGCTTCATCTGACCAGGGGTTGGTGATGCCTCCTAAATCACATCTATCTCCCATTGCAAAGTCTTCTAGCTCCACTTTGTTCTGGCTGTGCTGAGGGGGGTTCTGCAGAGGCCGCGGGGCAGCTGTGGCCCTGGTCTCTTGGGCCCTGCTCCTTCCTGCATTTGTTCTGGCCGTCGTGGGATTCCTTCTCATGCCAAACGTGCCTCCGGGTCCCATCCTCAGACTCCCTGGTGGCTCCCCGTTCCTTGGGCTTCCTTCCCCTTCCCTGCACAGCCCTCACACTAAAGCTCCTAAAATCAGCCCCTTGCAGCGCACGATTTTTCCAGATTTAATTAGGGGCAGCCAATCTCTTGCTAAGAGCCTCCCGTCTCAGAACCAGGCCCCATTATTTATTTTGTTTGTAATAATTTATTTTTTAAAAATTTTAAATTTTTTCTACGAAAAAAGTGTTTTCCGGGCCCCCCCCCCCCCGGTTACATTCTCTCTTACACAAAATTTGTTTTGCATCACATTACCATTCTAATTTCAGCCCCGTTATTTTCTTCCCACATTTCCATCTTAATTTCAATTTTTTTAAACCTATAGACCATGTCAATTTTTCGCCCTTTCAGAAAAATATACCACATTTACCATTTCATTTTCCATCTGTTATTCTAATTTCTGTATGTAGCATATATCTTCATATCAACTTTAATAGAACAAACATTTTACTTAATTGGTTAACCACAATTAACGTTATTTTATTTAACTATATATCATTAGCAATATTAACGTATTTCATTTTCTACTAATACATCCCTTCCTCCTTTCCTAGCCATTTTCTCTTAACTCATCTCTTGCTCTCTTTGATGTTCCATTTTTCATCAGTTTTCTATTTGTACTTCTATCCGCTACTCTAGAGTTCCTTTTTCCCCCCTCTTTTATATGTATTGTATCTTTTCTTTTGGATTTTTCCTATCATTCTCCTATGAGTTATTTCAGTAACCCTCCCTAGGATTTCTCTTTTTTGCTTCCCACAGAAAAAGGTCCCCTTATTAAAGAGTCTTCAAACCATTTTTTTTTTCTGGTTTATCAGTTCATTTATTTTGAACAAATCTCTTAAAGCATGTAATTGTATCATCGCTATCAAAATTCACATCAGTTCTCTTCACCCAAGCAAATTGCACATCAAATCTGCATCCCTAAAGATAGCAAATTCAGATCCTCATCGGCCCCAGTATCAATGTTGCCTGGCAACCACGACTTGCTGGTGAAACAGAGTCACATGACGTGAGATGTTTTCTAGGGAATAGACTGGCAGGAAGTGTGGCTGATTCCATTTTAGGTCAGACAGGCTAATCCTCTCTCAGAAGGCCATAATATTATACTCCATCTGACACAGCAGAAGATAAATGTCCTTTGGCACTGTAGTTGGTATATACGCTGATTAGGTTATTTTCTCTCTGATTTTCCACGTGCGAGAGCGTAACACACTTGGGTGACAAGAGGAGGTGATGCGATGCTCTTTCGGTTAGAATTTGCACAGGGACTTTACCTGTTGGGGTAGCTGGCCTAATGGGAGTTCCGTGTATATATTGTACACACACATGCGTACCAGTAGTGGGTTCCGGATTCCGTTCCAACCGTACCGGTTGGAAAGGGCCTGGCAGCGTCCAAATGGACGCGTGCACACACACACAGCGCATGCATGCAACTTACTGTCCAGCGATGCTTCCATGAGCCTCCGCGATGCTCCAGATGCTCAGTGGAGCATCGCACAGGCACTGCACGTACTGTGCGCGGAAGCGCCAAAGATTTTAAAGACAGGTAAGTAGCGCTGGCGGGCGGGTGGGTCCTCCGGAGCATCATACTGAAATGGTACCCGGTGCTCAGGGCAGGCTCCAGTACGCCCGTACCAGGGCGCACTTCCTGCAACCCACCCGCTGATGCATACATAAAATATCTCAGCTGATGCCTGATGTCTATAAGGGCCGTACAGGGTACTTCTTTGTCCTTATAAACAATGTTAAGGTAATGCATTTTGCTTCAATAATCTTTAGAATTTGAACTCTTCAGTTCTCCCACAGAAGTATTTGAGAGAAATTATATGCCAAAAGTGAAGAGTTCACTGGGATATTTTTATGATGCTGATGTCCCAAATCTTGAATCAATATTGCTTTACTTACAAGTTTCTCATGCATATTAAACTACTAACTTTCTTATAAGTTCATTTAAAAACCAGAAACAGATGCTGCAAGCCTTCAAAAAATGAAGTATGCATGTAGCTTAAGTTTCAATGAGTTCCTGATTGTACCGTGTTTCCCTGAAAATAAGACAGGGTCTAATTTTCTTTTGACCCCTGAATTAAACACTTGGCCTTATTTTTTGGGGAGGTCTTATTATTTTTGAGGTGCAGGAGGCGGTGAGCGTAGTCATCTCATGACTGCTGCTGCGTTGCAATATTTTCAGGGAGGGCTTATTTTAGTCCACTTGCTAAACAGCCCAATTGGGCTTATTATCCAGGGAGGGCTTATTTTCGGGGAAACTGGGTGATACGTCAAAGCTACTTGATGTGTACATTTCTGCCCCCTTAGCCACTAGAGCATGCTGCCGCATGAAATGTATAAATTAAGTAATGTTGCAAAAGGGTAACACTTTAAATAGTATAAGACAGGTCTCCCTGGCTAGGCTGAATTGCTGCAACCGACTGTGGTGTCACGGCCCAATTTCTTCCACTGGGGTTTCTCGCTGTGCCGTAACTACAAAGCTCTGCATAATGAACCGAAAACTTAGGGAGTCTCCAGTTGCAGACAGATTCTTCGGAGTGGTGAGAATCTGACTGCCTAAGCAAACATTACAAGGTTGACATGGCTACTGCTGATGTACGTTGGCCCACTTATCTTCACCCTCACATCTGAAAAGCAAACGGGGTCGTGGCATTGGATTTCTCCCCCGTGCCCGTCCTTCTCCACCTCCCCTTTGAAGGGCTCTGGACATGCCGAACCAGATGAATACAATCTAGTTACATCGTTTGTCCTGCATTAATAGTTACTAGGAAACAGCAGGTCTGTGGGAGCCCCTGGGATCTTGCGTACACAGTGTATTAATTGTGAAGATAAAGAGATAACAGGGACGTTGAGTTGAGCCCTAAGAAACTGCTTTGAACTCCACCTTTCCGCTCTTTGTTTAATGATAAATATATTTATAAAATTTCTGTCATGCTTATATCTAAAAGTAGAAGTTGTAAAGGAAATATTCACTGCCCGATAAGAGTGAAAGATTAATGGATGTCGGCATGTCTATGCGTGCATGAATACATAGGTATATTCTTAATGAGAAACAGAAAAATTATAAATAATCGTATTCGGTATTTTTGGTTTGAAATCTAATTAATAAAATATTGTTAATATATTATTATATTATTACAAAGTTTTGATATATTTATCTTTAAATATAGGGTTTTCTCCAAAGTTCTTTGCTAGTGATTCAATGAAGCTAGGGATCTAGTGAGAATCTACTGGATACAGTTTTCCAGTGTTTTGTGAAAAACCTGGTACCTAACAATGGGACCTGAACCAGTTTCTCATTTGTTACGCACATTTCTGTACTCCAGTGGTCTTTACTAATGAAAATTAACATTGTCAGGTGGTCAGAAGCATTGATAAGAATGAAAGTAAAGCTTATCATGTAGCTGGAAGTGACTTCCTGGGTCGTCCAGTCCAACCCACTGATCTGTGCTAAAGCATTTCAGACAAATTGCTATTCAGTCTTTCATGAGGCGACCTGGTTGACAGCACTTACTGTCAGAGATTTTCCATGCACCGCTCCATAATCTCAACCATCACAATAAGCCTCTTCAATCACAGGAAACCGACTCTTCCCTTTGCAGGGCAGTTGCTTAAATATCCAAAGATTCTTGTCTTGTTTCCCTTCACCCGTTTCTTCCGCCTTTGCTTATCCCTTCCTCTGGTGGCCAGCCCTGTTCTCCCCTCGGGGACTTCTCTTAAATCTCATAACAACCTTAAAGGTCTTGGCTCAGACAACGGATGGTACCTCAACAGCAGAATTGAAAGATTGAAAAATGTTTTCTGCAAACTGTTTTGACTTTAAAAAATAATTCCAAATGAATCTATTTCCACCACAAAAAAATTAGCATGGACCATGTGTCTGCAACCAATCAGCACAAATATAACAGGGTAACAATTTAAATGTAGTCTTGATGCTTTTAAAGACATGATTTAGAAAACAGATCAGAAATGGTATCATAAAGCAGCTAATGGACACAGGACTGGTTGTGAGATAATTCTTTTATTGAAATGAATCTGGAAATTTAAGAAGGGAAAGCAAGAAAGTAATAAGAAAAGAAAAATCCGATCAGTTCCTTCAAATAATGTAAAGAGAATCTTTTGGTACCGAGGAAATAATTACCTCTTGTTGTTTTGTTTTCTTTTTTCCTTATGCATACAGGTTAAAGAATGGCTGTGCTTAACCTGCCAGATGCAGAGAGCTTTAGGTGGGGACTTGGCTCCTGCTCAGGGCTCTGGACCTTCGGTACCCAAGCAAGAATCTCCGGCCAAAGCAGCTTCTCAACCGCAGCCAGCTACCAAGAAGAAAGAAGCGGCTCTAAAACCTGATGCGACCAAGTCCTTGGAGCAGAAAAAGCCCCCAGCGCAAACAAACCAGGCTGCTCTGCCCAGTTCCTCTCCTGCAAAAGCAGAGGCTCTTCCTGCTGAACCCAAGCAGGCAGAATCCACCCCGAGGTCCGGCCAGGCCAAGCCGTCGGGAAGCGAGGATAAACAAGAGCAATCTAGTCCTCGGAAGCTCACAAGCGACGACGCAACTAAACCGTCACCGTCGGATTCCAGACAAAATAGCTCCAAGCCTTTACTCACTCAACGTAAAGTCCTTCAGAGGTCAGAAGATGACAAGCTGTCACAGGACCAACGTGCACCTGGTGGCAAAATCGCTGCTCCAGATTGCAAAACTTTATCTCAAGTGTCTTCTCAAAAGTCTGCAACAAAACTCAGTTCTCCGCTTGGAAGCGACTTAAATGCTAAGGGCCAAAAGGAAACCGAAACAGCAGAAGCGAAAGAGCCTTCTGTGAAAACCCAGCCCCAGGGGAATCCCAAACCAGATGCCAAATCCACTCCAAAAGGCCAACAGGCCCCAGTGGGCGCCAAGCCCAGCCAAGCCCGGCCTCAGGTTCAGGCCCAACCGCCCCCAAAAGCCCCGGAACAAGCCAAGCGCTTCGGCCTTCATGCAGGAGGCGATGCTCCCAAGCCACTTCCAGCAGCCCCTCCAGAAACGGTGACCGGGAAGCTGTTTGGATTTGGGGCTTCCATTTTCAGCCAGGCTTCCAGTTTGATCACCACATCAGGCCAGCCAGGAGCTCCGGCACCGGGACCTGCCCCTTCAGCCCCCTCCAAGCAGCCCCTTCCCCCTGCCCTGCAAAAGGAGCCCCCTCCACCGTCTCCTAAGGGGGCGCCTGCGAAGAAGGAAGCGAAGCCTCTTCCTGGGGCAGAAAAAGCCTCCCAAAAGGAAGCCAGCCAGGCGGAGGCCGAGAAGAAGCCGCTGCCTCCCCAGGCCTCCCAGGCGCCTGGTGGGGCTGGGAGAGAAAAGAGGGCAGGGCCACCACCGGAAGCACCCCAAGGGCCCCCGCCGGCCTCCCTCTGTCCCCTCTGCAAAACTGGCCTCAATGTGGGGTCTACAGACCCTCCCAATTACAACAGGTGCACAGAGTGTAGGACCGTGGTGTGCAGCCTCTGTGGATTTAATCCCACGCCCCACATCACAGAGGTAGGTAGGCACAGCTCTCCTCCACTCCACCGTGGTTGTGATGCGTTGCTTCTCTCCCCCCCCCCCTCCAATCCATCCATATCAATTATTTGACCCCCTTCCTAGTCTGAGGGAAATGACTCGGGTGCCTTGGTTAAAGGTTTATTATGTACCAGTGCTTTCCCCCCCTAGCATTCATCCCCTGTATTGCTTATATTTCAACAATGGAGCAAGTTTTAAGTAATTTATTGCTGATGCTTTATGTAGTTTATAGTGTTGGAAAGGAAAGAGGAGCAAAGACCCCGCCCAGAGCCCCTAGGGAGTGGGCGGCATACAAATCCTATTAAAGTTTAAAGTTTAAATGAAAGCTACTTTTCCTCCGCGAAGAGAATTGCTAAGCCAAGACTGAGGTGAATTTAAGGTGCGGAGAGCCTAGCGCAACCTTCCCTCTGATTTTAGGTTTCCGCCAGTGATATTGGAAGAGAGGGCTCAAACACCTTAGAAAAGAAACTTCCTGGGTATTTAATATCAAAGGGATATTAAACGCAGCCGGGTCTGTTCTGGGTTTTTGTTAGTAATCTGCAGAACTGAAATGCTAAGAACCCACTTGCTATTTATAGAAACTCACAGATGCTGCTGAATCATGTGGCTGAGGGAAGATCAGGCGTTCGTACTTCTTTTGCACTTTTTCTTCTGCCTCTGTCGAAAGCTTGTGATGGACCTCTTGACAGATTTATTTCGTTATCGTAAAAGATAATTGGATGTGTAAGCTGTGATTTGACCTTATTTCCTCATAAAAATGGCCTTCCGGCTGGCGCTTAGTAAGGATGCGCATGAGATCTGGGGGGAAGCCTTCAAAGCTTTGAGCATTGGTGAGCCTTTGCGATGCTGGAACGAGCCGACTGCGGCCACCCATGTTCTCTGGCTGGATTGGAGCTGGATTGGCCTCTCCGCCTCAGGCCCTTTTTTTCTCACAAAATTCTTCTGGGGAGATAAAAAGAGAGAGAGAGGGGAGATTCCCAAACGTTTAAGCTCCTGGAGGAAAGGAATGAAGGGGAAGGGGAACACACCTGGATGCTCCTGGCCAGCCTTGGGTAGTTGACAGCAGTTGTGGCCGAACTCAAGTTGACAAACCTTTGATTCACCGAAGGGAAGTCCGCTCCTTTCTGCACTTAAAAGGAAAGGCCATCTCCCCGTACAGCTGTGCATGTGGTTACGAGACCCTCGGCTCGGCTTCCAGGCCTTCTGCGTGGAGGGAATATTTATCTCAGTAGTTCTTCTTGCCTCCAAGGTAATGGGTGTATTTGGGTCTTCACAGGAAAAAGCATAGCTCAGGAACTATTTATTCATCCATCGTATTTACGCGGTTGCTCAACTCACAAAATGCAACTCTAGCCAGTGCACAGTAGGAAAAAAAAACAATAATATAAAAAACAAATCAGTTTAAAAATTAAATTATAATTTTAAAAAGGGGGTGAGAGAATGACAGATATTAATAACAGTGAAGCCACCTCAACAACTCACCATTCCCTTATGGCCCTCAAGCCTGATGACATAGCCGTCTGCTCCAGTGGTGGGTTTCAAAGGATTTTGGAACCTCTTCTGTAGGTGTGGCCTGCT